GGTGACATCTTCTAATTCTTAGAACTTCTTCTATCTTTTTTCTTAATTTTTTGATTCTTTTAAATGTTGAATATATTAAAGATTTTTCTGTCCATGTATGAAGAATGTATAGTTCATAATTAATCGATTTTTTTTTTGTAATTTTGTATACCCAAGTTTAACCTCTAACTCTTGATTTGCTCTTACATTTACTTTCTTTTATTTCTTAATGAAATTTATTTTTCAAAGTTTCAATAATAAACAAAATGAAATCCTACAAATTCTTTTAGCAGGGATGAAGAAGGTGAGAGTTGAAGAAGAATTCAAAGATTTTAAAAGGTGTGTAGAAATTATATTTATTAAAAAATGTGATCAGTTATTACATATTTCTTTTTCAATATTGTTGGATTTGTTTTATCATATGATATGTTTGTGTTTACGATTGGATCATATAAATTCGAATAAAATTTTGATATTTTGTAATCATAGGATATGATAAATCTTTTTCGAATTCAAGCTCCATTAACAATAACTATTTATACGTGATTGATAAATACGTTAAATTTTGACTACTTCAAGATTTTTTCAATTTACAGAAATCGTTTGGTGAGTAATGAAGAAATAAGAGTTGAAGAAAATTTAAAAGGTTTTACAAAAGGCATGTAAAAATTATATTATTTATAAAATGGATTTGTTATTACATATTTTTTCTTTTCAATATTGTTGGATTTATTGTTATCGTAGGATATGATTGTGTTTACGATTAGATCATTTAAATTCGAATAAAGTTTTTATATTTTATGATTACAAGATTCTATAAAAATCTTTAAAATATTGTTTTGGTAATTTTAAAAAGTTTAACCCCCCAACTTTTTCATCTTCATTCTTGATATTTATTATATTATTTTCATCTTTCCATCTATTAATTAAAATAAACTTACAATAAATGGTGTGAGACATTGTCACAAGATGATTTTTAAAAGAGATTTTCTCATTGTTTTATATTTATGAAATGTTAAATAAGTTATTTTTACCCGTGAATGAAAAATGTGTATTTCATTATTTTCTCCAAAATAAAAACAAAATTTTTCAAGCCAGAGATGTCCTTAATTGAGCATTTGACATCATTATTTTATATAAATCTAAAAGTAAAATATGAAGTTTCTTATGTGACACTTTGTGGAAAAGTTATTTCATAATTATTATTTTTCAAAAATTTAGATTTTTTTAGATTTATTTTGTTGATTATTTTAATTGTCTTTTATTAACTTATAAATGTTCTAGACCTTTCGTTTTTCTATTCCGTTTTCTAATCTCATCTATATATATTATATCTCATTTAACATTTTTTCTTTTGTTTTACTAATTCTTCCATTATATGGCAAACTACACAATCGAATACCTAAATCAAGATGGAAGCTGCATTCTTTATGGTTCATTTTATGTTTTTATGTAAGCTATTTGTTGTTATTGATGTATTGTGTTTTTTTGCAAATTTTTTTATCGTCGATATTGTTGTTCTTTCTCCATAAAATTCATGTAAGAATTGTTACATTTTATATAATGATTTGTGTGGGTTATTTGTTGTTAATGGATGGTTTTTATTCCATGTTATTATATTTGTTTAATTATTATTACATTTGTTTTTCTATGCATTATATATTGTATTTTTTGTTATGTAGAATACTTTTATTGTCCATACCGAATGTTATTCCTCTATAAACTTTTCCCGATAACAAATATTACATCTTAATTTATAATTTATGTGGGTTATATGTTGTTGACGAATGTTTGTTCAAAAATTTATTCTCTATTATATTTTATTAAACATGATTCTTCGTCATCCTTATTTTTAGAATTTATTTATATTGTGTATGCGTTTTTTTATGTGTCTTTTTATTTTGCATAATTTTGTTTTATTAATAATTTGTATTTATTCAAGTTTTTTTTTTTGTTTTTAGACAACAATCAGATTATGAGTAAGTGTGATCCATGTGGAGTTTTATTATTATAAATTTTCTTCTCCATTTGTTATATTTATAGAGTTTCTCAATTTGTATTTTTTATGTCATTCTATGTATTGTGGTTATTAATAAACCAGTATATATCGTGTGACTGTTTGTTATTTAGAAGAACACATCAATGTTTATGTATTTATTTATTTGAAAAGAAATAAAATGTGATATCCATGTGGTTTTTGTATGTGTATTTGTTTGCTTTTATTAAATTATTTATTTTATATGATATACGTTCTTTGTTTTATTATGCTTAAAATTACTTAAATTTGCTTAAAGTTTTATTTATTTATTTATATAATATCATATTAAAAATACGTAATGAAAAAATGATGTTTTTATTGGCGATAAATTGATTTTACTATGCAGACGGCGGTATTAAAGACTTTGTATGAAAAAAAGAAAATTTTAATTTTTTTATATATTCGATAAATCAAAAAAATGTCGTGTTTAATATTTTGAAGAGATTTATTTAATGATGGTTTAAAGTTTTAGTTATGGTACCAGTGTCACTGCGAGTGAAACCTAACATGGAAAAAATTAAATAAACTAAAAAAGAATACAAGAACATCTTATATGGAGAAAGAAAACCCAAACCCGCTGAATTATTGCTGTTCGGTTTACCTTGTTGTTTCACTTATAAGATACCAAAAGGATTTTTTCATTTACAGTTATACTTCACCACATGTTTTTGCAAACTAGCATTATACATGAAACATGTATTGTTTCCAATATCAAACAACACAAAACAATTGGTGAAAAACACTTCAACATAAAACAATGATGTTTCATGTATGAAAAACCAAACAAGATTTGGTGAATAGAAAACAAAAGAAAGAACAATCAGTGATATTTCATATATGAATTAATAAAGAACGAGTATGTTTCATACCAATATTGTTTCACCTATGAAACAACATGTGGATGTTTCAGTAACAATTGCATTTGATCATGATCATTTGTTTTGTAAACCAATATTGTCTATGACACCATATGTTGTTTCACATATGAAACAACATTCGTGATGTTAGAAATCTGTATTAAGAATCCATATGTTGTTTTATAATGAAAAATTTCAAAATACTCGGTAAATTTCAAATTTTATATTTTAATAAAAATTATTTTAAATTTACATTCTTGAGTTGTGTCTCATTACATACAACTATACAACTAGTAATTAGGGGTGTTCGGGATTGCTTATAAAAACAACTTATTGACTTATTTCGGTGTGACATCGGTAATAAACACTTTTGAGTGTTTGGATAAACAATTTATACTGGTGCCAAACCAGTAATAAGAAGTTTTTGAAGAAGTTAAACTCTTATGACTTATAATAAATTGATAAGTGTTTTTTTTATAGAAAAGCCTAAGTTGTTTAAAATAAGCAATCCCAACCCCCCTTAATCTATACTATATTATAAAACATTTGAGAAAAACTCTTAAAAATTATTTTTTATGCATCAAGTACTGTTTATTGATGTATATTACTTAAAATTCAAGATTACAAGTAATTTGTGCATAAGTACAATTGATTAAAACTCCATGAATGAACTCGTGTAACTAACTACAGATAAACATAATTAAATAGAGGATAAACATCTTATTTTAAATATAAAAAATCTAAAATATAATTAGGATAATCATTGAATTCTAACAAAAAACTTAATTATTATCTTTATAAAAAGTTATATTATTAAACCAACAATAAAAAAATGAATTCAAGAAATTACACAAAAAAAATGAGAATTTTAAATTGTTAGTTTGGTACTAATATCAGTATATATCAAAATTTTATGATATCTTTATATTTATATTTCATTCAAAAATAAAAATATTATTGTTTTCTCAAAACCACATAAAACCGTATTATAACATAGACTGTGACAAAAAAAACGAAACATTAAAATCAAGATGTATCTCGTTACATTGTACAAATACACTTCTAATTTATAAAAAAATTAGTACTTTATAAATTTAAATGAAAACCATCCATTCAAATACGATTCCAATATCCGAATAAATTTTAAAATATTCCAAGTATCTTTTAAAAGGAAAAGAAAAAGAAAAAGAAAAAAGAAAAAGGATTTTGTATTGTATCCAATTAGCCGCTCAACGATTGACACGTGGTAAAGCCACTCTTTTGGAAATTGGTCTTCCTAATTTAACGTGGCGGCCCAACAATTTCGCTTTTCAATCTTGTAATCTCAAGAACTGCTGCCCCAAAAAAACACACCGCCCAAAATCATCCTTCAACCACTTCCTAGGTACCCCAATTATTCTTCTTTTCTTCTTCGATCTGTTTTTGTTTATGCTTTCTCGAGATTTTATATTCGTTTCAGCAGAATTGTGTTCTTGAATCCGTATTATTTGGCGTATGAAAATACCGATCTCTTGTTTCTATCATTTGTTAAATTGTTAAATCATAATATAGGGATGAATTGTTTCACATAATTGAGAAATTTGGTTTCCTTTGTTGAATCTTGTGATGATTTAAGCTTTTTCTTTGAAAGATCTGAGATCTTATTGGCTTTTTAGGGGATATTTTTATAATTTTTGGGATTGACAATTGAAATGATTTTATGTTAAATGTAGTATCTTCCACAGGAAACTAGCATTCAACAGCAACAATTGTGTTCCTCTGAGGTTGGAAATAGATTCATATTAGTATTGGTTTGACCAAGTTGTCAATTTGACTATAAAAGTCAAAATTGGACCCTTTTGCAACAAACGAAGTAACTTTTAGTTTTATAGGTGATAGGTTTACGTTGCATATTTTGTTTGAAGTAGCAAATGGTCTCATAAACATGGAACTAGGATTGTCTTTATTTGGGTCAATAGTCTGGTTGATCTTGTTGTGAGATCTTAGGGTGCCTTTGGTGTGCTATGACAGAACAGAAACTTGTTGTGTCATGTAAAAGTGTTCTCTGCAACATTCATGGATGATTGATGCATAAAAGTAAAATTTATGCTTTTTAAAGGATGGGGTTGTGCAATTTCTTGGATTATCTGTTCTTAGATCTTAATGGAAGTATTTATTCTTTGCTTTTCCTATCACCACCTCCATCCTGAAAGAAAATTTGTCATTTGGCTTTTGAGTTTCAACTGAGTTACATTTTTTATCCTCAAAGTTCAACAACAATTTTTTTGGGTGTAGGTTAAAAATGACTGTTCATATTAAAGTAGAACTATAGAACAATCTATCATGATAGTAGAACATTTTGAAACAAAAAACAACTAAAATCCATCTCCATTTATATTTGAAAAGTATAATTTCTGAACTAGTCACATCAACATTCAACAGCGGACCCTTTGAACCGGACATATGGACTAATTTGCTCTAAATGTTGCGAATGGGACTGTGGCTATATATTACGGATAGTGTCATCGGAATTATGTCTTAGTAGCCAAAAACATGATATTTTAGTGATGGGAAACTTAATGGTGCATAGTTTAGCGTATGTTTCTCTGTTTTTTAGTCACATGTGAAGTCATCGTATGAAATAGGATCGAAAAAATGCAAATGAAGAATAAACTAGTGAACCATGAACTATAACTCACACAATTAAAATTGTTAGTTATTCAGACTTATTGATTTGCTTTCTTATTCGTGTTTTCTTTTATGTAAGCAGAATTGACGACCAGATCTTCATGAATTCAAAAAACAGTTTGGCATCCAACGTTTCCTGTAAATCGGGAAACAACAGCAGCTCCACTTACTGTACTTTGGTTTGCGTTCTCTCAAATTTCTTTAAGAATCCGATTGTTTACTTGAACTTCCTTCTAATTAAGGCCATTGGTAGAAGTCTCTCATCAGCTCGAATCTTAGTTTCTTTCCATCCATAGTTATATTGTTTTAGGCAAATAAATACAAAACCATCTTTGGGCCTTCCTCGCTATTTTCTACCATGGTTTCTTCTCAATTAACCGCTTTAATGGAAAACAAGACGTGCAAATCTTCTCGGAACTATTTACACATCCCTCTTTGCCCACCTGATGGAACATTAGACACCGTTGAATTGGACTTCTCTGATACATTTGGTCCACTACCGGCTCATCCTAGCCGTGGAAGTTCTGAGATTTCAACTGAGATTGTATATGATGATCCAGTGGTCGTTTTTAGCCGTTCACATTCTTTAGTGGGCCCATCACCACGTGTCAGCCACCTGCTAAATCTAAGTAACCTAACCATATGTGAAACAGAAGAATCATTAGAGCTCATAGATGACTTTAATGATGTGATAGACGAAGGAGTTGAGGAAGGTTCTGAAAATGGTTATGGATGTGATGAGAAGTGCGAAAAGGTTCAAAGCATAGGCCTTGAAGATTTTGAGGTCATGAAAGTTGTTGGGCAAGGAGCGTTTGGAAAAGTATATCAAGTGAGAAAGAGAGACACTTTAGAAATATTTGCAATGAAGGTTGTGAGGAAGGATAAGATTGTGGAGAAAAATCATGCTGAATACATGAAAGCAGAGAGGGATATTTTGACCAAGGTTGATCATCCCTTTATAGTCCAACTCCGGTACTCTTTCCAGGTAGCTTTTGTACAGATTCCTAAACTGCACATTTTGTTTATTTTTTACGTGTAAAGGTGGGCAATAGAACAACCATAAGGTTGCTCATTTGTTACTTTATGACTAAGCTGGGATCTTCATGGAAACAACTGCTCTACTCTTTTAGGGCAAATGTCAGGTTTGCATACATCTCACGACCCAGACCCTACTTTCAAGGTGGTTCACTGGGCCGGTTTGGTATGCTTTATTTGTGACTTTATATGGCTGAATGGTCATGGATTTATGCCACAAAATCAGGCTCTTTGCAAAATACAAGGATAACTACATTTAAAGATTTTCCTCCCCAACCCCTGAAGTTACTATTTTGTGACCATACAATTATGGGTTTGAGTCATGAAAATCTTATTTTTTGCGAAAATCAAGAGATATTTCATATAAAGGTTTTTCCTCTCCCGTCTATTAAGGTTACTCTTTTATGAGAGGACGACCATGGTTCAAGTCAACAAACAGCCTCTTTGGGAAGTACAAAGGAAAAGTTGTGTAAGAGAACTTTCCGGAAAGGCCCATGGGACCAGCCCCCAATGGTACCCAGAGATGCACAAGTCCCGGGCATTTTCGGGCCTGCCCGTGCCTTCCAGTCCTGTTTTCCACTGAGGAAAAAAAGGTCGGGCTTTGGGGTTGAAGGAGGGCCTGATCGGGCTCTTTCAGGCTTAACTGGGTATTTTTGGGCTTTTTCAGGCCAGGCTTTAACTGGGCCTTGAAAATAAATGTTGGCCTGATCGGGCTCAGGCTTACTAGGCCCAGGCTTCAGGCTTGGGTGGGCTTTTTGTGCACCTCTAGGTACCTGAATTACCCGTAGATCCCAACCTCTCTGGAGGTCAAGTGTTCAAGCCTCACCGAAGGTGAGGAGTGTGTGAGTTTTCCCGTATATAATTATATATACTTGGAAAGAAAAATTCCTCTAATGTCACCAAGCCAAGGACAGTTGGTGCAGTAGGGCCCAACTCCCAGCTAAGGGAGCTCTAACCATATACCTTTCTGCTTTCAGACTAAATATAGACTTTATCTTGTTTTGGACTTTGTGAATGGAGGACATCTTTTTTTCCAGCTATATCACCATGGACTTTTCCGGTGAGTTGTTTTAGTATCAGTTTCTGTAAATCATTAAAATGTTGAAGATATAAAACTGATTATGATATCATGCTCATGCTTTCAGAGAGGATCTGGCTCGTGTTTATGCTGCAGAGATTGTTTCAGCTGTTTCTCACCTTCATGCAAACGGCATAATGCATAGGGATCTTAAGCCTGAAAACATTCTACTTGATGTAGATGGCCATGTACAATCTTGTTCTCTTCTTTGTCACAAACACACCCTTCTTCTAAGACTTTTATAGTCATGACATATGTTCTTTTTTCAGGCTTTGCTTACAGACTTTGGCCTAGCAAAAGAATTTGATGAGAATGCAAGATCAAATTCTTTATGCGGGACGGTAGAATATATGTCACCTGAAATTATTCTTGGCAAGGGCCATGACAAAGCTGCAGACTGGTGGAGCGTTGGAATCTTGCTGTTTGAGATGCTCACAGGACAGGTGAACAAGTTATATGATTATTTTATGCATAATGCTAAATTAGTTCTTTGAATCGTGATGTTTGGAATATTCTTGTTGAAATCCTTGCCCATCGAACAAAAACAACCTCTCGACCCTAGTGGTTGACATAAGGTCTGCCTACATCCTAACTCCTCCCATTCCCATACCCTACTTTCAAATCGGCTCTATAATTATTCTAACCATGGAGGAACAATCGCCTATTTGACACTCAAAAGTCGACTGTTGTCTTGGTTTTTGTTGTAAACTTCTTAATTCTTATTGTGGAATTTCTTCTAATATATGTCAATTTTGCCTTCGATTTTGAACAGCCACCTTTTCATGGAGGGAATCGGGACAAAGTACAGAAAAAGATAGTGAAGGATAAGTTGAAGCTACCTGCATTTTTAACAAGCGAAGCACATGCCCTGCTGAAAGGGGTTAGTTCACTTATTTCTGATCTTTAATCAAAATGAATTTCTATCATGTCATTTTTATGTTGGCCAAAATGCAACAAAAGTTTGGTTTAGTTCCTACTTGGTGTAACGAACAATCGATGTAACGAAGTTCCAAAATTTCTTATTTTGTACCCATTATAACCGGTATGGCGGTATCCTGGTGATCTTGTAACATTTAATGACGTGGATACCCGTATTACGAAAGGTTTACAAAATGTTTATGAAAGGGTCATATGACAAAGTGGATGATAAAGTTAACATTCACATCATCAAATGATGTAAGATCAGCAAGTTAATGATCAAATGGGTAAAACAATAGGAAACTTTGTTATATGGATGTTGAGAAAAAAATCTCTGCTACACTAAATAGGAACAATACAAACTTCATTGCATTTTGAAACATTTTTACCTTCTATATTTGATGTTATTCTTCGACAAATGCTTTAGTTTTTAAATAGTTTGACCACTATATCTCCTTGGGTAACAAAATTCTTCACTTTCTCCATCTCTAGTTGCTACAAAAGGATCCAAGCAAGCGGCTTGGCAATGGGTCGATGGGAAGTGATGAAATAAAGCATCACAAGTGGTTCAAGCAGATCAACTGGAAGAAATTAGATGCTCGAGAAATCCAACCAAGTTTTCGGCCCGAAGTTTCTGGAAGCCAATGCATCGCTAACTTTGACAAACGGTGGACCGACATGCCACTATTGGACTCCCCCGCATCCAGCCCAAATGGCTCGGCTAACCTCTTTCAGGGATTTACTTATGTCCAGCCTGCAGCCTCTTTTCTTCGCAGACACACCCCATTGGGTGGCACCGCTTAAGAGCTGTTTGGTAGATGCTGAATAATTTGATGCAAAATGATTAAGTAGTCAAATTGATTTGTGTTGACCTTTGTTCTCTTTGTTGAACACTTATGTTTATGCTCTATTTCATGCACAATGGAGTCATTTGTAGTGCAGTGTGCACAACTGCATTTGTGAAAGTTACATCAATTATGCAATTTTTTTTGGTAAAAGATGGCGTTTAACTTTGAGATCTACAAGTAAAGATCTATAAATTTCAACATTGGTATGGATATGCATTTGTTTTTATTTGATGTATACATGTAGTGTCTTTAAGAAAATTTGGATTACATATGAAGAATTAGTTGAAATTGTGGATTAATTGGTTGGATAATTGGATTGAAGCTAAGTATTAGCTGGATTTAATCTGATCAAATGGACAACCAACAGTAAAATCCAATTGATGAAACTGATTTGATCCAATCATCTATTGGATTAGAATGGTCGTCCAAAGTTAATTGGATCGGGTCGGTTGACAAAAATTCAACATCCAATGGATGATTAGATAGGATCGGTTCCAACCTATATCCATTGGATTTCAACCAATAGACTCCCAACTAACTAAAACTTGACATACTTGTTTTTAATATTTATATACCGTAGATATTCACACACACATCACCATTGGTGTAGTTTGAACCTTGTACCTCTTGGGAAGCCGGGTTTACTGTAACCCAACAAATCCAAATCCAGGTACTGTTGGACCAATGGTCCATTGGTAATTTGACATACTTTCATGTATCTTTAAAACATATAGTATTACTTGCATGCAAATTCATCCACAATGTGAGCATACATATGCTGATTACTTGATTTCTTTTAGTACGAGTGTATACCATTGTTGTTTAAAGTTCATCATGGTATTGGAAGCCATGCTTCTTCTTGCAACCCCAATGGCATTTCCATTTGCACAACGAGTTGAAGAGCGTAAGCCTTGTGGAATGTCGAGATATGATGTTTGACGTTGAAGGAGATTTCGAAAGAACAATTGCATACCCATCATCCATGTACTCGGTTCCATCAGGAAACACTTGCCATAGAAGACTTCCACCTCCACTCCCTCCTTTTCTTACCGAGTCTAATACTGTGTTGTATACTGTGCTTATCAGTGTATCCCTGAATGATATGTTGTATCCCTGGTCTTTTGCAGATACGCCAAACTCGCTGAAAACCACCGGCATCCCAAGGTATTGTTCTGCATCATCAATATGTGATTGCATCCATGACTTGGTGAATGAGATATGGGCATCAGATATTGATGGTGAAATCCTTCATAAAAGCATTACATCTATCAGCATAACATCTTGTTTGTTGTACAACCTACGATATACAACTATATTTGGCAAACTAGCTGATAATGTAAGCATTTAAAAAATATCACCAATGTTAATAACAAAAATAACAATTAAAAAGATAATGATTGAATTATTTTGATTAAGCAAAAATATTCGAGGTGTCACATATAAGCTACCAAAATGAAGTTATAAAAGTACGATATCCAAAATAGGAAGCATAGCAAAGTTCGTTGCATGAAAAGCTAGCTATTAGATGATAAACTAGTCATTAATTGTTTGGTAAAACTAGTTAATAAGGTAGATGAGAATATAAAATGACCTAATATAACAGGTTGAAAGACTACTTTAAAGTAACTTTTCAAAAAGCTAGCTTATGGTATGGTTAATAAAATGGGGTTTTTCCAATAAGCTTTAAAAATAAGTTGGCTTATATGTTGGCATGCACATGTTATAGAAAGTTACAAGCTTTAGTAGACTTACCAAGAGTCGGCATAAATATGTACAGAAGCAAAATCAACACCAAGAATTTGATGGTTTCTGATGAAATCAGTTCCCACTTGTTGAGCATAAGTATTTGGATTATATTGAACCTTGTTAGGTGTTGAAGCCCCATAAAATCCTTCAAGACCAATCTCCACCAGATGCTTTGGATCAATAGTTTTCACATAAACTGCCATTTCTTCTATCCATTCCTGTAAAATTACACACCGTTTACTTAGTTTTTTTAAGTATATATAATATACGACAGATACTCACATACACTCCTTCCGATTGAGATTTGAACCCTTGACATAGGGAGGTTGGGATCTACCTATGACCTGGATATCGTTGGGTCAAAGACCCTTTGGTCCTTTTACTTAGTTCAGAGCGCACATATGCCGATTGGTTTTCATGAATGGAAAAATACCTGTAGTTTATCTCCGGAAGGATCCGATGGACATCTCGGCTCGTTCATCAATTCCCAAGCAAAAATAGTGGGATCGTCTTTGTAGGTCATGTTGCTTACGGTATTCACTCTATTCAGCACCGTCTACACACCCAATAAACCATGTCRACATATCAAATGACTACATGTAACATTGTTTTTGTAAAAAGATTGTTTTTAACAATTGGGACAACTGTACTAAGATTAGTGGTCCCCGTATGTTGCCGTAGTGGTAAGATGGTAGGCATCCATAWARRRG